CCCGCCGGCCTGGCTGGGCCCGAGTCCCCAGTGCTCTGAACCTTGGGGATGCCGTCAGAGCTGACAGCGTCTCCCGGAGAGCCGGCGTCCCAGCGCAGCTGGCAGGGTGGGCAACCTCAGCCCCACGCCCGCCGGCTGCCCAGCTTTGCTCTCTCCCTCCTCATTTAGTGCATCTGACCTTAAAATAAAAGCACGCCGGGAGCTGCGGGTGGCAAAGGGCCGTGCGTGGCAGGGAGAGGTGTCGGCCGAGGGCAGAGCTGAGCGGCTGCTGCTGAGTCCCCGAGGGATAACGCCATGCGTTTGCCCCGCAGCAGCAGGCTGTGGCACAGATCTGCTTACAGCGTAAAGCTGAGGGCCTGGGTGCCACCGACGCGCTGACATCGCACCTAGGCGTAGCATCCCAGAGAGGAAAACGCCTGCATCTGCCTCACGTGAGCTCAAGCCTCTGGCTTTCTCTCCCTAAGTTTGATCCAGTAGGAACGCTCAGCAGGGATAGGAAGGAGAAACCAGGAAAGTCAGGCAAGACAGACCAGGAAGGAGGTTCTGCCGAGCACGTGCTGCGAATGCTTCCAGCCATCCCTGGTCCTTTATGTGTTTCATTACAGGCAGATCCCAAGCAAGAAACACACTGGCACCTTCCACTGTTTGGCACGAAACCTGCCTTTCTCCCGGGTGCAGTTCATAGCATCTGTCCCTTTGACCACCATATGAGAGCTGTAATAGTGTATAATATCTATGTTCTATATGTACAGTATGTGCTCAAAAACATATAATAATGCACCCGTCTCTACCCTCTCATGCTTTGTCTGATTTTCCATGAACAAGAGTTAACAGCACAGCCAAGTCTTTCCCTCCGACCAATACAGAAAAACAACTGGAGTGAATCAGAACCAAGACCCGGCTTGCCCAGTGCCCCATTTCTCACAGAGACAAAGGGAAGACACTCGGAGAAAAGCATAAGGACGGGGTGAGGGTGCAGCAATGTTTCCCGAGACCTTGCCCTCACCCTCCAACAACATGCAGTTTGGAGGTTGAGGTCGAGGCCAAGTCCTCCGGCTGGCAGGTAAGGCTGATCCAGGGAAAATCTCGAATGTAAGGGTGTTCTGCTCGATGGAGTGAGTTTACAAGTGCAAAAAAAGAGAAAAAAAAGTGTCCTTAGCTAGTTGTGAAAGCGCGAGAGGATTGAGGGGAGCGGCTGAGTCTTGCTTCTGGACAAAGCCCGCTCCATTGCTGGATTTTGAACGGAATCAGTAAATGACTCCGATGGCCAGATGTCTGCTTTCATTTCCTGCGCTGGAACTGGAATAAAGCCCACAAAATCTCCACCAAAATACTTTCTTTGGCAACGCTTTGCGAGTGGCTTGCGACTGCGGGGAGCGACGGCAGCGAACACGAAAGCCTGATGCCATCTAACGGCGGGCTGAATTTTCACCTTTCCCGGGCTGTGCTTGGCTGCGGGACTCTCACCCACAGTTTCGGAGTGTGAACTCTTGAGTCTGCATTGCTCCCCGCAGACACGGCGGGAAGAAAATGCAGCCAGCTGTAAAGAGACTTCGAGAACGCGCCCAAGGAAACAGTTTCTCCAACCCCCTGGCTCAGCAAATCGCCGTGTCGGTCCCGCTGCCGCGGTGGGAGCGGTGTGTTTGGAGGGTTAAACCTCTGGGTGGGTCATAGCAGTGCCGGGCAGCCGGAATACAGCGGGAGGTGTCAGCTGTGAACAGGTTGGCTATCCCCTTCTCATCGCCCGGCTTGGGTGTGTTGGCTTACAAGTCGATCGAACTTGGCCGAGCCGGGTGCCGGTCCAGGTGAACTGTTGGGTGTGTTGCACGTACCGCGGGCACGCAGAGGGTAAAGCTACTGTAATCAAACGCGTCCAGGGAGCAAGGCTGTAGAAAACCACGCGTTTCTCCACGTTACACCTGGCCCTCTTTTCCCTTAAAAACCAAAATTGCTGCTGGCTCTGCAACTGAGATCTGTGGCAAAGGGCTGAGCAACCCGGGATGTGCCTTCTGCCATTCCTCCAAGGGTCTATAAAGCTGGCCAGCCTGCCAGTCTCTAAACGTAGGAGTTTTTACAGGCTCTGTGGCAGCTGCGATGCCAGAAGCGCCCATCTCCACCAAACACCCTCCCGGCCACCAAACACCCTCCTGGTCCCCCCGGGCTGCTCACCGCCCGAGCCACACACCAGGCAGCACTCACAGAGAAGCTGCCCGCGCTCCAGCTGCCCGCACGCACGTGGCCGGGCAGTTTCCTGTTCCTGCTTTTCAACGCACGCTCCCTCCCACGTGATGTACGGGATCTGGGAAAGGACAAGCACCAACCCACGCAGCAGCCCCGTGGGCGCGGGGATGCATTTCCCCCCCCGGTTTGGGAAAGGGACAGGAGGAACGCCAACGCTCCCGCCAGAAATTTCCATCAGGCCCACGCACCCAGCCTGGGATGCAGTGGCCCTTTCTCCCCGTCCTTGGCCACTGAGCAGTACATCTTATCTGAGAAGTTCCCACAGAGTGAAACAGCCAAAACTTAACAGTTTTGCAAACTGGACGTGCAGAAAATAGAAAATCCTCAACCGCTGAGCACCAGAGAAAACAGGAATTACGCTACGCACTCAACACTGTGCAGTAAGTCAACCGGCACGGCAGGAAAAGATTGGTCAAAAGGCCCTGTCACAGCCTGCGCCATGACGTCATCCCGTCTCCCTACCTGTCTCCTCTCTCCTAGAGCCTGCTCTGAAGCATACGGCATTCTGCGGTTTTTGCCAATCAAGCAAAATCAGTTTTGCTGTGTAACACTCCTCTCCAGGACCGGAGGGAGGCCGTAACAGGAGTCGGCGGGCGATCACCTGGATCACAACCCCGGTTCCAGCAGTGAGGCGGAAAGACGCACTCCTTTCCAACCCCTTCCTTTTCCTTCAGCAGGTTCTTCGGCGGTAGCTTGCCTGTAGCTCCTCACAGCACACACGGCTGCCTTGCTCTTTCTTGGGTTGAGCATCCCAATGGTCCTAATCATATCCTACCCTGTCAGCAATCCGCTTTGAAGCTCGTCTTTCCAAGGGCTCCTGCTCCCCGAGATTTAAGCCTGAATGTGTGTTATGCCTGTTACAAACATCTACCTTTTTTCCCACGCTTTGGCTGGCGGGCTCTCAGATCCTTCCCATGGCCCCGTGAAGGAGTGAGATCCGAGTGGAAATGAAGGGTCTGCCGTGGTTCGTACACTCTTGGGGATAAAGAGCTGGGAGAAGCGAATGAGAGACGCGCTTTGCCTTGCAGCGTAAGCTCCTCTGTGTTGACGCAGCGTCTGCTTTCACGTCAGCGCGGCACCGAGCTGGCGGCAGGTGCTCCTGCACATGAACTAGAGTAAGGAAATTCCGTGCATCTCACTGAAGATGGGAGCGCCGAACCGAAATTACCTCCCCGCGCAGCAACTGAGCTCACCAAGCTGTCACCCGACTCAGCGGGCTGGATGTTTACACTCCTGTAAACAGAAACAAAAGGCCGATTTCTGGAATGACAATGAAAATAAACATTTGTCGGGGTCCTTAAAGACATTTCACAGGGCTGGTATAGCTTTAAAAACATAACACTGCAGCTCCTGCAGCCTCAGAGACTCTGAGGTACACCGTGTGCTGGCAGGGAGCAACACAGATGGCTTCAAATAACTTTGCATTAAAAGCCTCCCCTACAAAACCCTTCATTTTCACTAATAAAAGGGGAAAAATGGTATTTTCCACAAGCTGTTTCCTTGCTCTGTACTTACACAGCACTTAAACCACTTGAGTCCTGTGCCTCGGGCCGTCACACGTGAATCTATGCTGCGGAGCAGAAGAGGGGGAAGGATGAAGGAGTCCAGAGGAGGCCCATGAAGATGCTCCGAGGGCTGGAGCCCCTCTGCTGTGGGGACAGGCTGAGAGAGTTGGGCTTGTTCAGCCTGGAGAAGAGAAGGCTCCGGGGAGACCTTATAGCACCTTCCAGTACCTGAAGGGCCTACAAGGAAGCTGGGGGGGACTTTTTACAAGGGCCTGTAGTGACAGGACAAGGGGTAACGGGTTTAAATGGAAAGTGGGGAGGTTTAGATCAGATATCAGGAAGAAGTTCTTCCTGGAGAGGGTGGAGAAGCACGGGGACAGGTTGCCCAGAGAAGCTGTGGATGCCCCATCCCTGGAAGTGTCCAAGGCCAGGCTGGATGTGGCTCTGAGCAACCTGGTCTAGTGGAAGGTGTCCCTGCCCACGGCAGGGGGGTTGGAACTGGATGGGCTTTAAGGTCCCTTCCAACCCAAACCATTCTGTGACTCTGTGATGCCCTGGGAGGGGGAAGCCTGCAGCACAAACTCATCCGGGTCCGATCCCACAGCCCGACAACACAGCGATTGCTGCGGAAGGCCTGTCCTCCTTCACCTCTGGGATCTGTGGCAGGGAAAAGAACTGTTTTCTTGGAAGACCAGACTGTTTTCTTGCACAGCTTTTCAGGACAAGCACCAGCAAGGAGCTGTCTTCCGAATAAATGCCCGAGAAGGATGTTCATAACCAAAGCGTCTTTCCTACAGGTGAGACGGGAAGAGCGCTGCATAGACAAAAGGCCACTGTGCACAATCAATCTATTTAAAATACTGTTTATTTGTGATTTAACATTAATTAGCATTACATCTATGAGCAATTTCAGATAACATTTATATATTTTCCACAGGACACAAGAGTTGGCTGGCTCATTCTTTATGCCAAAGCGAGTAAATAGAGGCATTAGCAAAAGGTGCAAATAGTTCACGGTTGCATTTTAAAAAATATTTATGCACATTGCATTCATTTAGATATATATTTTTAAAAAAGTTATGAAAAGCGTAGTTCACAGGTTACTGTTTCTACATATGTTGGTAATACAACACAAATAATGTAGAACATAAAAAACAAAGTAAGCAACTGAAAGTTTCCACTATGATTAAAAACACTGATTCCAGTATTTAGTGATAGCTAGAAAATTGTTTCCAGGATCCATTCTAACATCGCGTTATCACACTTAGACGGTCAAAGCTAACCAGCCTCCAAACATGCTATAATCGACACTTTTGCATGCCAAACCACTCTCCAGCCATATTTAACAATTATATATCATAGAATATTTCAACCGGCAATTTGGGAATCACATGGATCTTTAAGATGTACTTCCTATTGCGATGACCGATTCACAGACAGTTTGACACAGTGAAGAAACCCCTATGTTAATTTCTATGTTTAGTTTGTATTTACAGTACAGTAAAAGTACTAAAACGACAATACCAGTAAAAATGAGCGAGTGGCGGTACCACTCTCACCCATGGCACTAGGCTCTGATTTGCTCTGGGTTCACCCAAAGGACAACACAGATTCATGAGACCCTTTTACAATTCAGATGAAAGCGAAGAGAAAACCCAAAGTGTTGCGCTCTGTATGAATCCAGACAAATTATTAAGAACGTCTAAATGGACATGTCACTTTGCTGATTTAATAAAAATATCCCACAATCCATATCATATATTTAAAAAAAATAATCACCAGGCTTTTACTTTCTTTGTCTCCTCCTATTTTCTTACTATTTCACTTTCCCTTTTAACAGCTTTGTTTCCTTCATTTGGTTATGTTAAGAGATTATTTTTCTTCATTCATTAGCAATACCACGAGAGAAAGAAAAAACAACACCCCATGTAATTATTAAACACGAATCCAGTTCAATTTTATATGCTTTTATCTTTTGATTTCTGAGTCCCTGGATTCCTGAATTACATTTAAGTATACTCTAAACCAAGCATTCTGAAATACACTTTACTATTAATGCTTGGTTCACATGCTTATAATACCTTTATACTGAATGGTATACAAACATTTGAACATATAAAATCTTCTTTTTTGTTTTGCCAGTTAAACTAAATTATCAATGTTAAGTGTATAAAATCCCCTTTCTTGAAAAATAAGGGTTTCCCACCCACCCCACCCCCAACTGATAGAATAAAAAAGAAGTCTTCAAAAATTATATTTCACTAAAATGAAACATTTGGCAAAAAAGTTATTGAAGAATGGAATTCTTTAGACCTTTTGTATAACTCCAAATAAACTCTCTCTTACACAGTTTTTCCCCTACTATTATGTGCCAGTGTATAATGTTTCTCTACGATCTAATCTTAGAAAAGGTTTAAAGGTGTGCTGTTAATGTGCACCCGCTCCAACGGGGGTACAGAAACAGAAAGTACATGGTCAGAACCACAATACAGAAACGCGTGGTCTGGTTACCAATGAGACAGCAGTTTCAGGAAGCCGTATGCTCACTCCACAGTAACTTCAGTACAGACTTGAACTGTACCGAAAAGCGTAAGGTCTGCAAAATACCCCCCGCAGAACTCGCTGCTGCACACCGCGACGGCATTCGACCCCGCCGCGACGGTAACTGAGCCCCCGCCAGCGTGCTTCGGCATGAAACTAATGAACGTTTCCAACCCTCACGGCAAATTTGGACACAGTTAAGTGAGAGATTGATTAATTTTCAATTAACATGAAAGGGTTTTTTTTGTTTGGTGGGTTGTGGGTTTTTTTAAAGCAAAACCTCTTCCAGTTCCTTTTTGTTTGGGTTAAAAGTCCAGTTACTGCACACCCCTAACACTACGCTGTTTATAATAGTCAAACGTTTAAAATGTGCAACGTCTCCTCACAACAGAACTGCACTTACGCTTCTACCTTCTCCTTCTTTTTACTCTTTTTCAGGAAAGACGGGGTGCGGAATTTCTTCTTCTTCTTTGACGGGGATTTGGAAGGTGACCCTTCGGGGGACAGAGCCTCCTCTATCTTCTCAGGGCTTTTAATCGTGATCTCCACGCTCTCCACAGTACTGGTGGTTAACTGACTGACCCTCTTGGTGAGGTCTTCCACGTCGTGCGCGTCTTCCTTGCCGTTCACGACCACAACCGGCATCTCCACAGATATTAGGTTGGCATTCTGGGTGTAGAGGTCTTCGTGGTTTTCTGAAAGAACAGACAATCGTGGGGTTATTTACGCACGCTGTCGCGCTAGAAAGCGGTAGTGAAACGGAGTCGGTGGGTCTGGACTGCGATACGAAAAGTGAAACCCAGAGTGCTCAGACGTAGGGTTTCTCCCCCTTTCTCTGCATTCGTGCTCGGTGTATGCAGACAAGGCTGTGGAAATGGTGTTGAAGGAAAGTGGGGCGGAAAAGCGAATCTAGTGTCTGCCAGGTGTCGCTCAGGCTGTGGGCAGCACACACACACATAGTCTACGCTGCGCATGGGCGCAGTCTCAAGCAGAGTCAGAGCGACGCTTTACTGCAAGAGACTTATTTATGAAAACGCAGCCATTCCACACAGAAGACTTTGGAGAACCAGCTTCTCAAAACGCCTTCTTAGACTTTGCTGGAAAAGTCTTAGGCAAAAACCCAAATCTTAACACGTTCAGTCAAGTAAGAATGTAACATCCATTCCCTCCGTCTTGTTAATATCCCCGTTTCAGTGTGCCCTGCCTTGTCCCGTGTGGGTGAGAATTACCCCGCAGGAAAACCGGACAGAGTCCCACCCAGCCGTGGTACAAGAGGGCCCTTGTTGGCCCAGCCAGCCTCACGCCGGCGTAAGAACGCAGCAGAAGAGAGGACGACTCGAGTTGTCAGAGCCCTTGGCATTGTACAGAAATTGCATGGAATACCTTCTAATTTTTCTGGGACATTTATCGGGGATTGAGTTTGTGACTGAATTTGTGACACAGATGAACCGTCATCTGAGAATAATTCCTGTTCAGCATCTGCAGGATGAGATTTCAGTTAGTAGCCATGCAAGAGTAAAAATCAAGCAAGAATGTCAGTGCTAGTGCTACAAGGTTTACAGCCCTGCTAGCTTTGCTTCGCTCATGCTGGCAACATCAGGAAGGTACAATATGCAGCTTTAACTCTACAAAATTATGGATTTATCTGCTCACAATCATCTTATATTAGTTCTTTAATAGAAAATATTTAAAAGGGCGGCAGGGTTGCATTCCCAGTAGCACGCCCCACGGTTTTATCTAGCCCTAAGTCGCACGGTTTGCTGTTACAGTAAGCTGTTATGCCATGCCCTGAATGTGATATACAGCAAAACTGTTCTGTTACAGAATATTAGTGAAAAGGAATGCATAGTAAGTGTTATCGTTAACAACAAAAGTCAGCCCTGAATTAGTAATTCCCTATGGAATAGCAGTATCGGAAGATGTAAAAGTGAAGGTCGATGAGTTTTGCACATCAGCAGAACAGAAGAAAAATTGAAGTTGCCAAGACCAAACATCTCAGTAAACTTTTGCTCAGCTGGGCACAGATCTGAGCAGCTTGATCTAACTTTGATATCAAGTCTGAGGAGGACGTTGGACCAAGATGACCTTCACAGGCTCTTCCAGCTTCAGTTAATTCTATGACTCTGACTGAAAAGGTCACTATGTTGAAGAGTGTTTTTGTCAACCCCACTTCTGTGCAAACCTTTCACTGCTTTAATTTTAGCACTAGCCAAACTAAAAAAAGATTTTACTGTCTCAAGGTTCAGTTGTACAGTAGTTGCCAACAGCCTATGCTAATAATTAACATGCGTACGTTTTTTACAGTAGACGTTCTCGTACCAAGCCCGAACTCGTTCAAATGTGAACGCCAACATTCAAAACCGCACCACTGACCTTCCAACCCTTGCTGCTTGCGCTCAATGGTTTTCTTGTACTCTTCCAGTTCCTTTTCTGTGAGATGGCTGAAGGGGTTGGGAGGGGCCGGCGGTGCGTGCTCATCATCTTCAAATTGCATTGACTGAAAAAGAGAAAAACATGATGTTTAACAGTTAAAAAAACTGAAGAAAGCAAGCAAGAGGTACACATTTCATATCTCTTTTTTTCCCAAAATCTGGTGACGCCAGATTGACAGGGAATACAGAAGACACAGATGTATCCACACCAAAATGACTCCATGTAGTAGGCTTTCACACAGTAATGAATACTGCCTGCTGAGCTGTAAATCACCATCCTTTTGCAACAGAATGATCGTTATTTGAGGGGTTTTTTTTGTTGGGTTTTTTTGGGGTTTTTTTTTGTATCAAGGGGGACAGCTTACACTTCGGGGACTAATATAGTCTCCAAAGAAGTAAAAGTCCTTTAACAACACAAAAATAAGGTTTCTCATATTTTCTGCAAATGCCCCGAGTTCTAGGGATTTTTTTTGTAGCAAAGTAACTGTACTCTACTCCAGTTTTGGAGTGTAACTGGAAGAGCTCTTCAGAGATTAATCTTACAATGACTAAATTAAAATTATGCTCATACTCTTTCTGCCCAAAACAAATAAGCAAACTCAGTGTTATCGCAAAAGAATATTGAAAACTAAAATGAGGAAATAGATGTACTAACCACCCATGGGTGGCTGGAAACTCTTAGAACTATAGAATTCTAATTACAATCCTCCAGTTTGTTAGATAACCTTCTTAGGGATGTCTGTACTGCTTGGAGGTAAGTATATTCTGCTCAAGGAAAGACAAGTGTGGACAAGCCAGGAACTGGAAACTCTCCCTCCCAGTAAGAAGCCTCTTTCTAATGAAAGCTGCCCTCTACGTGGTCTTATCCCACCTTTTAATGTCAGTTATTGCTGGGCCCCAATCATTTCCTTCAGCAGCAGTTGCACAGACTGATGAAAAGATGATTTTTGGCACCAAGCATGGCAAAGTTCACCACTCTGTAGCTTAAATAGTCTTAGACAGGGGTCCCACTTCGTTAATATTAATGGCAGGCAAGCTTACCATTCATATCTCCATCTGAAACTAACGTTTTAAACCTCTGAAATGAAATACGAATAAAATGTATTGCACATCCGAAACTTGGCATGAAAACGATCAGTTCTAACACAGGGTTTTGAAAGAAAATGGCCCAAACATGTTTGAAAAACAGACAGCCAAAATAACCCAAATCTTTGTAAATCAATTGATTACGTCCTACTCACTGGGCTCGGTTTTTTATCCACCACAATCCCGGCGAGCAGCTGAGACTGTGGTCCTGCTGTCTTTAGGTCGTATCGGTTTTGCTCCCTTATCTACAGAGAGAAAATAAACCGGGTTAGAAACAAATCCTATGCCCTTCGGTAACACAGGCAGCAGCCTACGGCTGGAGGATCGAGCTGTATGCTGCTGCACCTAAAACTTAAGGTCTCTTCTTCCCCACCCAATACACCACATGTGTTGTTTAGCCCTTCGAGTACTCCTGGAATATCCACCCTGGTGCCAGCTCCTGCACTTCAGGCAAGTCAGGATTTAGAAATAAGCTCCAAGGAATAGGATATATCTGAACCTGTCCTCTCCATCCCATAAAACGACCCATGTTAAGTTATTGGAGAGATCTCCACGGTCACAAAGGTTGGTGAATAGCTCGTTCTTTTCCCCAGACCAACAGCTGTAGCTTCACACTCTCAGTGTTTAAGAGATTGACACATCAGATCTAAATATAACTACAAGTACAGATCATATAAAAAAATTCTACAGCAGAAAAATAGGAATAAATTATCTAATAAGACAGTGACATGCATGAATTTAAAAACCATTGTCTGGGACTTCTACCATTAATCTCTAGATGATTAGATGGTGTCTTGCCAGTTCTACGGAAGGGAGTTGGTCTTTCTAACTCCAGTCCCCACAGATACTGATACGGTGCTTTCCAGGAAAGAAAAGAATATGTAATCAAATGGGAAGTGCCCTGAGGATCTGTTAAAAGAGTTATGCCTAGGGTGGAGGATCTGGTCAGTCTGAACATCAGCATCTTACACGCTGGAAGGGAAAAGCAGTGAGATATTTGTGTTTACGGAGAGAGGTCCAACAATAATCTCTCCTTTTCTTTTCTTACTGCCACTAGGAAGCAGACTGGACCATGGAAGCTCCAGCTTAATAAGTGCCAGGCAAATTAATACAGAACAGAGTGAGATTACAGCCTGAGATTGAATCATGCTGCAGATGACACGAAGCAATTTGGTTCACGTTGACACCTAATTATCCACTAAACATAATGCTAAATAGCAGGGACGACCATTTCCAACCTATCATTTCCAGAGTTCCTACTCGTCCTTCATCAAACCATTGCACTCAGAAGTTATTTATTTACTGCGCCTGTACCTACACACACCTCGTGCCTATCACACATTTAAACAAATGCCTTTTAGTGCCAAGAAATCATATGCAATGTAAGAGACTTTTTGGTAAAATCAGAACATTTGAAAATGTTATTTTACTGCTGTGTTGAATCATTATTTGAAAACATAATTTTATTTGGAAGTGCTACTTTTTAAATTTAATTACACTTCTTTTACCTTATTTCTCTTTTCCAACACTTCACTTGGGTTTGTATTTAGAGGAACAAATTGGTTTGGATCTTCAATTTTGATTGGCGTCCCTCCACTAGTCTTGGAGGACTCATCAGCTTTCATCCACTTAAAGAAAAGAAATATAAAAAGCTGAAAACCCCAGCATGATGGGGATGAACAATTCCCAGTGTTGTCTTACTGTTCAAGAAGAGCCATAAGGAAAGGACTTTCTGACTTTATTCTCAATTCCACATGACACCCCCAAAATAATCCCAACTCCTTACCAGGTTTGTGTGTTTGCCCAAGAGGATTTAAGTTGCCTCGAACATGTATCATCATGACTACTTTGTGTAAACACTGAAATACGGTCCTGAAAAACGCAGTACTGGCTGGGTACTCAATAAGAAGTCCTGTTTAGAGAGGATCACGCCTCCCAGTGATCCTAGCACATAGATCCACCAGCTCCAGAGCCCCTGTTCATGCAAACAACTTCCACCTCTGCTAACCACACATTCTGACTGTAGCTTTTTTCCTTTGTAAAGCAGGGTTTTAAATCGGTTGCTGAGGGTGTTGCTCCTAAATTTAAGCTTAGAAACTCGCTAGCCTGCCAGCAGGAGGAGCTGACGCTTTTACAGTTGTACTCTGCAACTGGGAGTAGCCTGATGGCAAATACCATTTCGTAGTCCCAGGAGAGCCAGCTCTCTCCAGGCAGGAAACACAGTGGAAGCATCATGATGAGCAGAAGGAGGAGGAAAATCCTTGATCATCATTCAAAGTAGTAGCCTGAACAGACTCCTTGAAGTCTGTTTTCAGCGGGCTCACAAACAGGAGAGGGGCAGTTAGAGATGAATTGGAGCTTGTGTTTCCTCCGTGTAGAGAAGAACCCATGGGTGACTGCAAACCTTACTGTGTTTGGTGGATAATTAATAGCACAAAAAGATATGGTAGAAAAACAGTTTTCTACTTCAGTAATCAGAAGAACTAGTAACAAAAGGGAAATAACTGTTAAATTTTATCATAATCTGTTACTTTTCCAAACATTAAACCCCCACAGAGTGGGGCCTTAGAAGTGATGTCATTAAGTCTCCCCCAAGACTATTTCTATTTGCTCAGTAAACTTACTTGCTAATCCTGTTAAAAATTGCCTCATCTAAACTGTGTGTAATTTACTTTCAAGTAGCACAAAAACTAAGCCACTGCCCAAAATATCTACCTACCGTGATCTTAGTCCTGGGACTGGTTTCCCCGTTCCAGGACTCCTCAGGCACATTAACTTTCAAGTACGTGTTTGGAGAGTTCAGCCATCTTGTCTTTTCTCTCTGCTGCCTCTGCGCCAGGAATTTCAGGGGGGAAAGCGGGACTGTATCATCTTCAAAGGAGAAGGCGGTCACAGTGGCCGGGATCTCAACGTCACTCTTATGTCTGGGTTTTTCCCTGACTAACGGCTGCCTGTAGGCATAGCCAGTTCTGTATCCCTATGGAGGGGGAAGAAAGAGGAAAAAAATATTTAAAAAACTTTTGAAATAGAAATAATAAGTGAAATCAGAAAAAGGTACCCAAAGAAGACATGGAAGATCTTTAAGGTCCCTTCCAACCCAAACCGTTCTACACTTCTGTGGGGTTTTGTGCTGCCCTAGATGCATTAAGCAGGTTCACGGAGCTCTTCAGAGAGCAGGCTAGTGGTGCCATCCCTCATTCATTCCTGCCATCAACATCCGACAGCCCCCTTTAAATACAGTACAGCGGCGGCCGGACAGGAGCCCCCTCACACTTCACCTTCCTCCTGCCCTCGTGAGTGCGTGGCCGCCACGTGACTCCCATTCAGGCTGTGCCCCAGGTAGCGTCCATAGCCACCTCGGTCTGTCCCCCGCAGCAGCACACCCTAGTTCACGACAGCCCCCCATTCCTCGCTCTGCTTGTGTTGATGGCTGTCCTAAAATTCACAGGGCAGTGAAACGGCCTGTGAATAAGAAATTACCAAGCAAGTAAGAAATGATCACCCTGTTTCCTAATATTAGAGTTTCTAACAAAAGGTAGAGGGAATCTGCTGTGTCTATCTACAAGGTGGCAATTAAAATATATTTTTACTATTAAGTTCCCATAAAGACCCAATATGTTTGTGAGATGGGTCAGACAAAATGAGCCTGTAGTGACAGGACAAGGGGTAACGGGTACAAATTGAAAACAGGGAGGTTTAGATTAGATATCAGGAAAAAATTCTTCCCGGAGAGGGTGGTGAGGCACTGGAACAGGTTGCCCAGAGAAGCTGTGGATGCCCCATCCCTGAAGTGTCCAAGGCCAGGCTGGATGAGGCTTTGAGCAACCTGGTCTAGTGGAAGGTGTCCCTGCCCATGGCAGGGGGGTTGGAACTGGATGGGCTTTAAGGTCCCTTCCAACCCAAACCATTCTGTGATTCTATGATTCTAAAATCTAAGTTCAAAACATTATAAATTCTCATCAAGGCAGAATACCACTGTCAGATGCACTGATACAATGAAATCTAAACCAAGCAGAAGAGATTTACGTATACAATAAAAGTTATTCTGTCTTCATTTTCAAACTCTCCAAGAAACCAGAAAAGATGGTTTGCTTTACAGAAGCTAATCCTCCACCCCCAGGAGCTTACAGAGGCTAGAGGGTGTCACACCACCATCGACATGCTCTCACCAGGTTGTCCAGCATCCGCATGAGTGCTTCAAATTCTTGCTCCCCAACTTTCCACTTCTGCTGCGAAGCCATGTTAACTCCACCTCCCCCCGCTGCTGCCACAGCGTGCGTGGAGGGCTTGAACTTCTGCAGATCCAGCAGTAGGAGATTGTCTATCCCACCTGCTCCAGCTAACGCATGAACCTAGAGACAGCAACGAGCGTATTTCATTCATGGAAAAGCTTTTGGATCCTCTGCTTTTCTGAATTCACAGGAGAAATACACTTGAACACAGGCTGCAGTTATGTCTCATGGCAGTTTTCTTCTGTGCAACAATGTATTACCGTACATAGCAAGTGATTCTTATGAGAGGAAGATAATACCTGCTAATAACTGTACTTTCAAAGGAGTAGACTCAAACACTAGCTCTCAAGGGTACCCTAAAAAAGTCCTTCTGCATCCCCAGACCAAAAATTTTTCATGTTGCTGTATGTTTCAAAATAAATGAGTGATCGAACTCAAAATGAATGGCAGGCGAAGGAGGAGAGGAAAGGAGTGGGAGACTGCCATTTATACCTCCACACAGCTACATGGGAGCACAGGATTGCTGGGGAACAAGAGCAAAGTGGTGAAGTTCCAGGCTTGAGCGTTATGGAAACGAGGGCGCTTTCAGGGGCCTCTCCCATCAGGTTATAGATCGTACCTAGGCACCTCTCTAGGTAGCTGAAGTTAGCACGGAAAGAACTGATTTTGGGACTCAAGCTATTTTTAAATACACTACCCTTTACCATTGCTCCAAAGATCATTTGTTTATTTGGTTTTACAGATCTTTGTGATCATAGGAAGAAGCTTCTTTCTTTGTCACAACGTTCGGGTTTGATACGTGAGCTGGACGTTGGGAGTCCGTAAGTCACACTTCCACATGCGGCGAGTGCCACTGAATCTGTCATCTGGCTGATGCCCCGCCTGAAGTTCACTATCCACAGCATGGAACAAAACCTGTACCCTTCCGTGGCTAACACCACCACTGGTACTCGCTCTGGGAAGAGGGACACAGAACTTGTGTTGTCCCTTCTGTTTTCCTGATTATACCAACCTCCTTGACTTTGATCTGGCATATTATTACTGGATTCATATTATTACAGGGCCTGTAGTGACAGGACAAGGGGTAACGGGTTTAAATTGAAAGTGGGGAGGTTTAGATTAGATATCAGGAAGAAATTCTTCCCAGAGAGGGTGGTGAGGCACTGGAACAGGTTGCCCAGAGAAGCTGTGGATGCCCCATCCCTGGGAGTGTTCAAGGCCAGGCTGGATGAGGCTTTGAGCAACCTGGTCTAGTGGAAGGGGTCCCTGCCCATGGCAGGGGGGGTGGAACTAGATGGGCTTTAAGGCCCCTTCCAACCCCAACCATTCTATGATCCTATGATTCCACAACCCCAAATATTTCGCAACACTAGAGGTCTTCCTCTCTGGGATACAGTCTATAGCTCAGCAGCATAAGCGTCTGGAGTTAAATACAGACAAATTCTCTCTCACCTGTGTTTCACAGGCCAGCTGAACATTGAAAATGTAGTGGAATGCTTCTTCCAGTGTCTCTCCTAGTGCCACCACACCATGGTTTCTCAAGACTAATACCTAGTGAATGAAGACACTAATGTTAAATGGTAGAAACCGTCGCAGTACATGAAAGTTGTTTATGAAGAGCATGAGTGAGGCTGAATACCTTGCAACTGGGTCCAAGAACTTTCTGAAGCTGAATTCTCTCTTCCTGTTCATCAAGAGATCCCTGATAGTTGTAATAAGCAACATCTCCCAGAATCAGAGCTTCCTGCGATATGGGAAGGATGCCACACTTCATAGATGAAACCTGTTTCAAGAAAATGAAGTACTGATAATTAGGAAAAAAGGAAACTCTTAAAACCCACATCTCAACCACTCAGGCTCTAGTGGGCTGTACGCTATATCTTGGCAAGAAGAGAGTCAAACTCTCCAGAGTGAAAGCTGAGAAGCAATACCTCTTTTTTTTTTTACTCCTAGTCTAATTTGCAGTGGGGTGACAGAGCTGCTGCTACCCAACCTAGGGGCAGGTTCATTACAGGAAAAGGCAAATTATCCCAGCTCCAGTTAATTTATTGATAATTTTATCCTTGTTTAATTCTCAGCATAAGCCTGCTTAGTGGTTTATGCTTCTTTCCCAAATTTATAACTTTAAAAAAATAATATAAAAAGTTATGCATGCCTTTTTTTGACTATAGTCAAGGAATGCATACATATGCATATTTTTGTAAAATAATATGAATGTATCTATTGTTCTCAAACCATTTCTGTCAAGTCTCCTTAGCTTTTTTATCACTGTTACACAGACCATTTTTAACTTATATGTAACTATGACTTTTTAATGGTGAGGTAAATCCAAACTGAACATAACTACTAATTAAACCACTGGAGCTGTGGTTTAATCACGCAAATCATGCTGTGTACAGCACCTTACACGGTCTAACATGCTATAAACGAAGCAGCCCGTGTAAACTATAAATTTTATAGCCTCCTCCACCTCAGTACAATTGTATCTGAGCATCGGCTTACTCCTATCCATTTCACTACAGCAGCCCAGCCCTCCTACTCTGCGTATTTAATAACCTCATGCCTTTCCTTACCAGCGTGGAGTTGATGTTAAAAGCAAACATATAAGTGCCTTAAGCAGTGATTCAGATTAAGAAAGGTGATCTAAGTTCATAAGGTAAACCTGTTTTCTTCTACTCTTTATGCTAGAAGGCAGACTTACAGCTGCTGTTGCAGGGGTATGTATGTGTATTACGCATCTGACATCGGGGCGTGTGGAGTAGATGGCCACGTGTGGACTGAATCCTGCATTGTCAATGCTTAAAGTTGTACTCCCCTGGTCAACTACATCTCCCAGGATGTTTACCTTAACCTGGAAAAGTTAAACAAAGAAACAATATTCAAAATTTTGCAACAAATGCCATTATGTACAAAATACCCTCCCCTTCTTACTTGGTACCAAATTTACATGTTTAGGGCTCAGAGCATGAAAAAAAGTAGGAGGGCAGCCATAAATCTGTGTGTTGATAAACCATCCTGCTGTTCAAGCCCTTGATGGCTGCAGAAGGTCCAGCCATGGAAGTAGTAAAGATAAGACCCTGACACAGCGTAGACTCCTCTTTGGCCTAGCTGACCCTTCCTTGTTTCTGACTTTCAGAAGTGAATTTTGTTAATATTGCCTACATTTTACGCGTGAAGAAAATCCAGCCTCTGAGAAATTTCCAATGAGAAAATTAAATGCATAGGGAATTTCCAATTTCACGAGAACATTAAAATAGTAACTCCAGAATCAACAAACAACAACAGCAGGGTCGTATCAGGTCCTGTTCTCTCACGTCTGTATTTTGGTTCTGCATTTGCTGGTGTAACACTATCAGTCTCAATCTGCTGCCCCCCTCCAACTGGAGGTGATTTCTTTACAGATACGTGCTGACACGAAGAACATATGGCAGGTTCTGCACCAAAAGATGTGTGATTTAGCAGCTACCGTTGCCCAACTGCCAATCTGTAACTTCACCCAGCTCCTTTGTTGGGCCCGGGGAAGATTATTCAACTTTATTTCCCACTTAGGAGGATAAGAGCTGATTCTCCTAACACCACTCCTACAGAGTCATTTCATATGTATTACCATACTGTCAGGTTATAAAAGGCTGCTGTTACACTGAGGCTATTTGACGAGCTTCATCAGACAGGAAAACAAAACTTTGCTGCTCCACACTGAAGTTTGAAGACAAAGCAACTTAAAGCAAAGCTAAACCCAAAAAGAAACGCTGAGGACAATGGATGCTACTATCTAAATAGTTAATCAGCTTTTCATCTGGTGGGTAAACATTAAAAAACCAATAACAGCATGATTATAGTTTAGAAGTCCATTTTAGCAGCCACAAAAGTCTTTTAGAAAACAGGTTGAGCCTTGCTGGTTATTAGAGCAGGTGAATCACGTACCAAATTAGAAGCTGAAGCCTCAGAAAAGGACAGACCTCTTGGAATGATTAGAATATGGTCATGCTCCTTGCTTACTCTTACCTGCAAAGAGGAAGAAAATGGATTACTGATCTATTTTTGAATTTATGTTATTCAGGGAGGAAATTAGCTGGAATGAATAGGTAATATTCGAAAAAAGGATTTTTATTCTCTAAAATACTTACTGTGATATAGGCATTTGGCAAATGTGCCCACCCGAACAAGTCAGCCAATCTATATAAGCTGGCTAACTTGCAACGAGTAAGTTTTTCTCCCTTAACAAACGAGGAAGTATCTACCCCAGGTAGATCATTGATAGGTGTAATCATTCCATGGCCTGAAAAAAACAGATAGAACCAGATGATGGCCAGTCAGACAATTAAATAACTCCTAGCTATGCCATGACCTTCCAGAAGCAGTTTATCTAAACCGTTGGCATAGCAGCACCACCAGTTATTAGACTGGTACTGCACTGCTGGGATTTCCAAGGTCTTTAGCGAAACTTCTGTTACTTTAAGACAGTGGGAACTATACCCTGAATTGCAGTCTTCATCTCCTTTTCAAACAAGAGAGGGGTAAAATACAGGTTTGTTTTGAAGTACCACTCAGATTTTGAGGTCTCTCCTGATTGAAGATCTTATATAGGACTGGAGTGGGGCTTTAGAAACATTCGCCACTAGTGAAGTATTTTAACGTGTTACTCATGCCTGCTGGACTTAGTGGAAGGTGTCCCTGCCCACGGCAGGGGGGTTGGAACTAGATGATCTTTAAGGTCCCTTCCAGCCCAAACCATTCTGTGATTCTATGATTCTATGACTTCCAACACCAGTATAACTAATTTGGAGAGGTCCCTCAGCCTGAGCACTTTAATTTAGTCCTAATGAACAAATTAGGGTTAGTGCCAGAGTCCTCAAACTGCTGGACAGAAGAGATCACTCCTTAACAGATTGATTGCTCTCTTTGACTTGTGACTGAACAAACATACACTTCTCCCCTTCATGGATGCATAATATCCCTTTGAGAGCTACAGCCTCTGCTTACAGCGAAAGTTAAGACCAGAAGACGCAACAATAATTTCAATTTTCAACAAAAAGGGTATGCATTTTGAGATTAGTCATGCTGGCAGACCCTGGGCAAACGCAGCGGAGGAAACAGTTGCACCTGCAGTCTCACCAACCAGCCACAGAGGAAAATTTATGTGGGTGCTCTGTTGCCTTCTTCTACCTGTTTTGGGCAATGAACTCTGAAAAGCCATGGCGGCACCAGTTCTCGGAAGGTGCTGAATGCTGACAGCTGCCACTGTACTTCAGGCTGGTAAGCTCCCACATGATGTCCACCCGCAGAACTTAAATCGACTTTAATGTTTCGGTGCTCCCCGACTTGGAAAGAACTTGGATGTTAACTGAAAGATCCTAGCGACATCTTTATACCTGGAGTGCATACTGCAAGCTGGTTTTAGCTGTGGGAACTGTGTAATAATTCAATTTGCCAGGCTATTCCCCCTCCCCTTATTTTTAATAATAATTTATATGTAAGAGTACAAAATAAACAATCTAAATTGTTATGTATTTCACATCTCAGTTTATGCTCAAATTAAACTGCTAATAGTAACGGAGCACAGCGTTTTCTTCCCTATCTCAGTGAAACTTTTATTGGCAAATTCTAGAATAAATGAGTGTGAGGACTCCAAACATTTTGGATATCATTATACAAATCAAAGAATTTGAGAGAAAGCAGCCTAAAAAGGAAAGTTAAGGCCACCATCTGTACTACTTCGCAGCTGAAGCAAGCTCTAACAGAACTCTACTCAAAGAGGGGATCCCAGCATTGCTAAGCCCCGGTGATAATACAAAAAGGAAGAGAAAAAGTGCAATTATATGTGTAATTCACTTACTGAAGGAAGATGAGGAAAAACCTGCAAAAGAGCTTGCTGTAATGTATTCAGCAATCTGTTGTAACGCAAGCAGTCCAGTGGGGTTATTGCCCTTCTTCATCTGTTCTTGAATAAGGCATTCCAGATCTTCTCTAAAAGCCTGTAGAAACATTTGAGAATCATCAAGGAAACCTGGCTTTGATAGAAATAACTTTATTATAGGTGGGGCTGGTAGCTTTGCCTGTTATTAATGTTACATGACACTTCCCCTTAGACCCGGTGATAATACACTTTTTTTGTATTGCTTTTTTTGTATGGCTTTGCCAAACTTTAACCATCTGACCTAAGCTTTGTATGGTAAGTGCTGGCAATTTGGGGGCCAGGAGGAAGGAGTTTGTAAATTATAACAAAAAACGTTTCTATCAATAATTAAAGAGTTCTCCTTATTTTGGAAAAGGTATTTGAAATTGGATCAGGATGTGTGGCTTTTAGTGCTGGATATTATAAAATTCTGTAATCCCTCTGAAAATCCATCCAAATTTGATAAAATTATAAACAACTGGAAAACTGGAGCTCGTCCATGCTCAAGTACTATCACAGACATGCAAAAACTAGAAGGGATGCCAAGATGCCTTCTTCTCTCCATTTCTTTTGTTCTCCCAAAGGGAAAAACCCTCCCTTCTTCTCCTGCATAAAACGTCTGCAACCCCGAGAGATAAACTCTTGCAGAAAATACAATGGAAAAGGTTTTTGCAGTCTCAGATTTAATACATTATGCACCGTGGACAAAGCCTGTTCCTTCTAGCTGACAGGCAGATTAACCACTATCCAAAACAAACACCTGTCCTACGACTATTTCCATCCTGACGTTTCCAGACTAAGTAAACTGTTCCTTCAAACTCTCCTTGTAGGTTGTATTCTCTACCCCTCTCATTGTTTCTTGGCAGCATCTTCCAGCTTTTGTCTGAACGGGCAGTATGCAAAGCTGCACACAACATGAGCTGAGGTGTTTCGTGAACACTCTTGCTGGGTCATTCCAGAAAGACATTTGGTGTCTTTACCACACAGCTGACTCCTATTATAACTCCAGGCTATTCCCAGTAGGCAACTGTGCCTTTCAGTTTGCCTCCTTAGCCAAGTGCTTGCTCTCAATTAAAAAAGAAAATAGTTCTGTATGGCGAACGGAACGTCTTTGCTGAATTTTAATTCAGTCCTCCAAAACACCCACTTTGTCGGGTAGAACCCAGCCATCCCACGACATAGCTTGTTTATCAACAGTTTGGACTCTAAAAGAGAGTGAGTGCTACCAGACCTCCAAAAAGGCATCCTCAACACTCTACTTGACAAGGCCTCCCAGTTGGACAGCCGAACGTCCATAACTATACTTGTATATTCCCAGTTTTCAGACACCCGTGCGCTTCCTTAGAGTAATTTTGTCAGGATTGTGTGTACCTGAGACTTGCCAGATTTCCGCAAGTAAAGCCTCTAAAAATTCACGTGGACTGACCAGACCCCCCAAAACAGCCGAACCACCACTCACTAGCCTGAAAATACATGGGCAAAGTCAGCTCTTTCTCTTCAGTGGCTGCTGTAGGTGAGAACTATGTGGCAGGGGAAGGGAGAAGATGGGGAAAAGGAAAGAAGAAACAGAGAACTGAGTGAGGAAAGGAACTTAACTGGGACTGGGAGAAAAGAAGTGGAGGTATGGGAGGTGGATCAGCACTGGGAGCCTGTAAGGGAAACTGATGGGAGGTAATGGCCAGAAAGACAAACAAGATTTCTGGAAAACAGCAACCGGTTGGACAAAACATCCTGACTCTCATACTTCATCTGTCAGCAGATGACTCTGGAACCCACTGCGATCCAGCTCCGAGGATGGTGTCATCATGTGTTCCAGGCAACGTGGGTGCCACCCTTGGTGACAAAACAACGAGTGCTGTCCTCAGCCTGCATCCTGAATGTGGCCACAAGCCCAGCCTGCTGGAAATCGGAAGTGCAGGGGTTCTTTCTCTGCCCCTCTTGCACAGAGATCATAATCTTTAAGCATAGCACAGTCATCCCCAAGCCTCGTTTGGCACGCAGTGGCTAGCTCTGACTAGAAAAGAAAGTATTTTCCCCTCATCTTGTGACTCGGCACAGGTTCTACTCATACTCTGTTGGGATGACAATTATTATTTAGCTGACAAGATTTTCTCTGGGCAGATAATTACTGTAAATCCAAGAGCTTCACAAGCATTAGCATACTAATCCCCAAACATGCCTTTAAGGTGCAGCAGAGCCCTGTCATCATTTCCACAGCATGGCACCAAAAAGGTCGAGGGTGGATGATTCCACCCATTTGGGACATTTATTTTGAGAGGCCCGGAGCCCCCTTTGAAGAGCACTGGGCAGTAAGGAGCTTCTTGCATACTCAGAGCACAAGTCTCAGTGAAAATTCAAGGGCAGCACCAAGTGCTTAATGTGCTGCCGTACCTCAGGGTAACACGGGGCTACGCAGAAAATCACAGTCAAAAACCAGGAAACATGACGCAGCATCACCCATGACAGCCTGGTTTAAACCCTTGAGGTTGTTAGTACCTGAATCTGAGCATCTCCCCCTACAACCAAAGTGGTTTTGAATGAAATTCAGCTGCATGGGATTTATACAATCTCTGTAGAAGACATAAGGATTTTTCACATAACCAGAAGGAAGCATTTTGGTGATCACACAGCTCAGTGCACAGAAAAAGGAGCCAAGGGCCAACCTTTATGTTCTACCAACCTGCTTGAAAGCACATAAAGTGTAAAATAACAGAGGTACTTCCTTGGCCTGTTGCACATCATATCCCTCACATGAGAGATGGATTTTCTTCCCCCTTTAAAAATCCCCAAACCACATAAAACAGACTTTCAAGCACCAGTCATCCCAGCGCCAGATCACTCTTCTGCTAATCGTTCACCATGTGGCTACAGTTTTATGGTACTTTCTCCTGTTGCTGTGATCTATTAAGACTGCAGAGACAACACCTGGCCAACATAATTCATCAACAAGCTATACTTTCAAATTCTGTCATGCCAAGAGACTCAATTTCTTCTCAAATACTCCTGAAAGAGGTCTCCTGCAAGAAAGCTCTGCCATTTCACACTCTGCAAGGCTGAAATGCCCCTTCACTCTTCTTTACAATCTGTGCATAAAAAAATTGCACATTTGTAGTCTCTCAGGGGCCATGTGAAAGACAGAATTCACAAAATTTATGGAAGTATTTGCTTGGGAGGAGATGGAGAAAAACAGTTATCTGTATTATATTAAATCACTCTCACTTCAATTCATCAAGGACTATAAAAAGGATCTGCAAAAACATTCACAATAAACTCTTATTAGTCATAGTCAGTCTTTTCTTTTAAACTTGTATGAGTAATATGACTTCTACAGCAGCAAAAAGGTAGTGTAACTTATCCCTGGCCATTTTTGACAGTTTTTTGGGTATATTTCTTATTGTATTTTTAATTATTCTACTTTCTGATCATGCTGTTTTCATTATTCTGAGCTTAGTTTTGCTCCCTGATGCCAACAGTAGTATACTATACACTTGCTGAGGCTACTACAAATGCGGATTTACTGTGGTATCAACAATTTTGTTAAACCGAACAAGCAGCTTTCCTTAAAAATAATTTCAGAAATAACAGAAGATAGGAAAGAGCCAGGGCAAGTGGCAAATGGGGAGGTTTGGGATGAGCTGTAAAACAGAGGTGAGGATATGGACGAAGTGCATAAAATGAACTCAGCGATTTATCCACGTGCCAATGCGCAACGCTGTTTTGTAGCAGCCTGCAGCCTCCAGTGTGTCACGGCCGTGACTCACGCACATTCCTCCATGCATATTTAAGGATATTTCAATACCTTTTGTTCACTGCTACAGACATTTAAAACTTAGACCTGTATGTCCTTAGATAACCGTCCCACATGTCTTAACACAACCTTCTTCTGTTTCTGGTAATTCCCAATGGGCTCACATGAAGGGCATCACTTCTGGAGAACAATTTACCTTAAATATTAGCCATTAAATGAAATACATTTATTGGAGCTTTCACTGTACGACACTTATTTCTGTAAAACCACTACTGCGCAGGGCTCTGACTGAGGGACCTGACCCATTCAGTGGCAGGAATCTGCTTCAGAAAACCTAGCCACAGCCTGGAGACCAAGGGGTTTGGTTTCGCTTGAATTCACATGACTAGAATATATATAGGTGGCATTACACTGCAACTGCCCATGAGTGACCACGTACAAGTCATGCTTGAGGGAGATGTATTCAAAAAGATGACAAATACCTTTGGCTCTGGCACAAAGCAGGTATTTTTCGAGCGGAAAGGTCCCTAGTAATGTCAGATGTAGCATTCGACAAGAAAATGCTGACAAAAGGAAAACTCTACTGTCAGGTGAGCGAAGAGTTGTGTTATTCAGCTGTATGCTCAGCATTGCTCAGTGAAGAGAAAGTTTCAGCTCTGAGATTTAAATAGCTCTTTGGATACACGTGGGTTTTTTTGTTTGTTAGTTTTAAAACCAAAACTTTAGACGTAAGATGATACAATAAGAGCAGTGATGTTTTCACAGTGGGGGACCGAGTCCCATAGGGAAAAGCACAGCACCTCATGGCTGCCCAGCTGCAATTCTGGACTCGGCCAAACTGCCTGTGCCGGTACTACAGCAAGGCTGCTGCCTGGACAACCCACCCCGCCATAGCTGAGAATCCTTTCCTCTTTGCACAAGCATCCTTCTGTTTCCAGTGAGCTCACCTGCCCAGCCAAGCACCAGTGTCCCTTCTTGTTTGTGCTGGAACAGCACTCCAAGCATCCTGCTGGAAGCTGACATAGAAAGTGGCCTGTGGTATGAAACAGGGCCCATGACAGCTACCAGAAAGGAGGCAAAGCAACACTTCAGGCAAGTAGCACGACTAGAAGGCTGCTGAGCAGGGCTTTCATTCAGCTGGCAGCAGCCAGCCACCTAAGCGACTGACCTCGGTACACAGCAGGCTGCAAACTCTCCTTTCACCACTGCCAGCTGAAATTGTTCTCTCCAAAACAGCAGTGAGCTGAACCACACTAAGTTACACCAGAGGAAAACATAGTTTTGCAGTTAGGCCACGAACCAAGGCACCCCCTGCGCCGGCAAACCTGCCA